AAAAAAGCTGACGTTTCAAGCGTTAGCCCTTCGTCAGAGCGATTAGTCGAACTAATCGAGCTAATCGAATTAGAACTAATCACTCTGACGAAGGGCTAACGCTCGAAACGTCAGCTTTTTTATCCTTTACGGTGGCTAATTTACGTTTTCCACCCAGTTGTTAACACTAAATTACCTGCTGTTCCTTGTTATGGCTAAGTGATTTTGTTGAGTGCTTGGGTAAAGAAGGTAACTTTTACAGTGTCTCTCCCCACTCAATGGCTAGGAGCTAACCTGGGACAATCTAGCATCTTTTCCATTAGGAAAAGCAGTAGCTCTCTGGATATTAAGCTGAAGCAGTGTATTTTAAACTGGATTATTGGATAATGCAATTCAAGAGTTGTCATTGGCTTAGCCATCGTAGGTTATGAGTAATTATACCATGCATGCGCATGAAGATAAGTTAAACTGGAAGTGTTTTTGTACATTGTAACTTTCTATTTTTCCTAATCCTATATTTTGGGGTTTTTTTCAATAAAACAATTATTCCACACAGGCTTGTTGGATATGAGATGATTATAGGGAGTTGGCTCTCTTTCATTTCATTAATCCAATACACTATGGCAGAGGTGGGGTGTTAGGTCTGTAAGAGTTAACTTTAATTTATGTTAACCCTTTAACTCCCAGAGGTTAATAACACAAAAACTTCTCCCTATAATATCCATACATTATTCAGCAAACAGGTAATGAGAATATTCAAACTTATCAGGTAGAAGCTGCTATCTTGATCTAGCACCATGTTCTTATAACTAATTTACAAGGAAATGTGAGGCAGCTAGAAGGGAGAATTAACAAATAAGATCTTGGGAATTAAAGGGTTAAACCATTTTCTTGTATCATTTGGTGCAAACAGGTAAACAAATAATACACCCAGGACAGATTGAAATTGTTAACAAGGCATTTTCACCAAGTGAAGAGAAGGTTAAATGGGCAAGAGATCTGGTAAATGCTTTTGAGGAACAAGAAAGAGTTGGAAAGGTCAGTTTGATCTGAGATGTAAAGCAAAGTAGGCAAGAAAGCTAAGTAGGTATAAAATTTACTTTGGAAACTTCATTTCATCTCCTTGTTTTTCTCTTTAAAAAGGGTGCCATTAATTTCCATGGCAACATGATTGACATGCCAACAGTTCAGCAAGCCAGGAATGTTCTTCGATTGGCAGAAGCTACACAGAAAAAGTAAAAAGTAAATAATAGCTTTTGAGCCAGGCTTGATGCAAGGACATGGTTTAGGAGAGTCCCAGAACTGCATATGACCCACCTTGTGGACAAGACAAAGGGACATGTTGAGTGGGCTCTGCAGGACCCTTCCTCCCTCCTGCTTTAAAATCCAGATTACCTTGTAGACACAGTGATATGCAAGGTCTCTTCAGAAATACAAGTGACACTGCAAGGCTGTGCTCTAGGAAAATTTTCAAGGCGCCCTTTGGGCGCCTAACCATGACAAGTAGGTCGCCCAGCCTTCCAGGTTGGTCGCCCGAATTGATTAATTAATAAATAATTAATTGATTAATTAATTAATAATCCATTTTATAGTTGAATCAGTTAATAATTAACAATAAAAAAATCCTTATTCAGAGATTTTGATTCATGCATGGACTTCAAAGTTTATCTAGCTCTCTTTAGAGAAAGTTACAGTGAATCGGGAAGCCTTCGTCATTGCAACTTGCTATTTGCAAGAAAGTTAAAATTTCAGAAAGTAGACGAAACCATTGATAGGATGTTTAATTAAAACTTGATTGCAAGTTTGTGCGACATCCGGCCGAGGAAACCATTGCTGAATGACAATCTTTACTAATCCGTGACGTTTTGAAAGAGTATCGTTGTATACTTCTTACAGTTCCAGGGAATCCGCAGAATTGCCAAACAGTTTCATCTTTAATCTCTCTCGTTCAATATTCACTTCACCGGGCACGGGCGGCGAAGCGAGTTACTATATTTAGCAGTCACGTACTCTATTTTGGCGAACTTGTGATATCATGAAATCCTGTTATAAATTAACCACATACATGTTAAAACCGCTAAGAAAATTTCTTTGAAGACTACTAAAACAGGTTTCGAAACAAAAGTGTTCTTATATTTAAGTTTCATTTTCGTCAAATTTTGATCGAATGATCACAATTGAGAGCAAGTCGCCAAATATGGTGCTGATAAACATCTTGCATGCCACGGACGAAGCTAATTCAATAAACACAAATTTGCATAAAGGACGGTTTCGTTTTATTAATCACGCGCTCCACTATTGAAACTGCTTGTCGGGCTAGCGGGAGCCGGGGAGCACGATGGAGTTTCTTTTTGTTTCGTTCCGTTCCGTTCCGTTTCTATACGTTTGCTGGTTTCGTTTCGGGTTTTCACACAAGCCGAAATCTATGCGCCCGGACGGGCGACCGCTTTTCTTTTTTAGTCGCCCGAGACCAAATGTTAGTCGCCTGAGGCGACCGGGCGCCGCTAGAGCACAGCCTTGCACTGAGATTCAGAAAACTGTTAACACTTTTATGTCATTCTGGTAGATCAAATGAGTACTGACCTGTTGCAATAAGGTAAAGTAAACTGAAACAAACGTCTGAATCTACAAACTGTTGCTTTTCTGGGTTTTGTTTCTGGGTTTTGTTTCCCTTGGCTCACTCCTTGGCACACCTAGAGATTTTATTATCTGGGGGCATCTGCCTTAAAAGGAGCACAAACGTACAGGGCATATCTATTGAAGGGTCCAATTTCCTTAGTTCTGAGCTTGTCCGCTAAATGGAATGTCCATTAACTGCAGTGGGAATTGCATTCAAAATGTTACTCTTACCTTGATTTTACAGCTGAATGGGTACTTCTCAAAAACATAGTTCATTGTATGTCATGTGGGTGCCTAGCAATTATGCAGGAAATTCATGTAAGGAAGAGAGAGTGTAACTTCTTTCCATGTCCTAATTTTCTAATTACTTACTCCTGGTTTAATCGAACACCTGCTACTCAGGCAACAGTTTTATTATATTTACATGGTCTTCCTCTGAGTCCTGTGAAATTACAGTGAAGTCCATTAAGAAGAGTATTGAGTAAATTAAAATATGAAGAATGTTAGATTCATTCTAGAAGCAGGTTAGTTATATAACTACTAATTTTGGAATGCTTTTAACCCTTTAACCCTTTAACTCCCATGAGTGACCAAGACAGAATTTCTCCTTACAATATCAACACAATATCAAGCAGACAAGTGATGAGAATAAAGATACATATCAATTAGGGGATTATTAGTTGATCCAATACCAAATTCTCAAACCTAACAGCATAAAAATTGTATGGTAGACAGTAAAGAGGACTGACTAATGAGATCTTGGGATCTTGGTTAAAACATTATATGGCTAAGGTTCCTTTGACTTGAGAGCACTCTAGGTATTCTCTCTCAAGCAATGAAGTTCTAAAATCATTCAAGTTTTGCTGTCATCTCGTTTCTGTAGTTGTTTTCCTCATTTCCATTTGGCCGAGATTTTATGAGATTGTATGTGTGTACACCTAACATATTTGCAAAAACTCTGACTTAAAACCGGAGAGAAGTGCGGAAAAAAATAAAATGTTGAAATATTGGTGAACACCCGCCTTAAAGTAAGATGGAAGGTGGGACATACAGGTGTGTAAATAGCCCACTTTTTGCATAAGTAACTTGCTTATGTTTGGTCTCTTATGGTCCTTGATAACAGTCAATTTCAAAGAACTTCACACATCCACTTCTGGTCAATAGATCAGTGCGGCAATATTTCCTAAGGCCGGACCACTGAGTGGGGCTCTACTGTATTTTTGCGTATTTTACCTCGGCATAGTACTCGGAGTACATCTTTAAATGCCATTTTGAACTGCTTATTCAAGAATGCATATATGATAGGATTGCAGATTGTGTTTGAAAATGCCAGCCATGCTGCCACCAGAGGAAACGATGAAGAATCACTCGCATGCAGGTCTAGAGTTTCGAGGATGCTATACACAGCGAAAGGAAACCAACAAACTTTGAATGCCAGAATAGTCACCAACAATACTTTAACTAGCTTTTCTTGTTGATTAAATCGTTTCTGCGTTTTGCCGAGCCGCACGATACCTGATTGTTCTGACGGAGTTGGAGAAATGACCCGAGATGTTTGGCTGTTGTTGTCCTCTATGACTGTTGCGTCTTTAACGCTAAACGTTTCCACTGGAGCCAGTCCTGAAGATGTTGAAGGCGTTGTGCCTACTGCTCGCATATGCAACTTAAAGTTATAGATTGTTCCTGTTTCGGCGATCAGTGTGCTTGCACCACTCTGAATGCTAGAATCAGGAAAGTTGATTATTACCTCAGGCACTTTGCCAACTTGATCAAGGTTGGAGCAGCTCAACTGACTATCGGTAGCACCACACCACGCTTTACTGGAGCGAAAATTCTTGTTATGCTTACGAACAAACTTCATAATCTTGTAATAAAACACTGTCATGAGGCACGAAGGTATACAAAATAGCGACACAAGTATTAATATACTGTAAGACATATGTTTTGACCAGTTCAGCGAGCACGTGGAAATACTGGAGCTGAAATAAAACTCGCCCCACCCAAACACAGGGGGAAGGGTGAAAAAGATACTTACACCCCATATGGCGCCCACCATACATTTTACCAATCTCCATAATTCAAGCGTGGAGTATTTATAGTAAGAAGTGATGGTTTTATATCTGTACCAGCTGAAGCTAAACAAAGTCAACAAAGTTACGTTGGAGAGCAGAACTATGACAAAAGCCTCCACTTGGCAGATAGCTTCCCCAAAAATCCAATTGTTATTACAGAGCACGGTGATGTAGGAAAGAGGTATGCAGATAAGACTTGCTGAAATGTCCGTCACGGCTAAATTCAAGACAAATATATTGGCTGGCACACGCCGAATGACTTTTTTTGTCGCAACAGAGATGACAACAATAGAGTTGCCACCTAAAGCCACCAACGAAATAAATATCATTGGAATGGCTTTCCCAACAGAAGACCAAGTAACTGAAGGAGTTGAGGAGTCATTCATAGTTTGGCTAAAGCACAATTTAGCTAAGTACTAAACTGCCTTAAATGAGCGCGCACTTTCGGTCGGGTTGTTTTTAACGAAAGGAGTCAATGTTTGAATAACAACTTCCGTCCGATGCTTGTTCACTAGGAAAAGGTCTTCAACCAAATATGACGAATTTCTTCAAACGGTCTTTCAGCGATTTGAAACCAACGTTTCACCAAGCGTAGGATCCTCCAGACCTAGTTGGCTTGAAAATTTAAAAAGTGATAGCGAAGAACTTGCTCCTTAAAAGTGTATTTGCGAGAATAACTTTTAAAGATCTTTTAAGTGGCTTGACTCACTGCAATGTCTGATTCTTTTGGCGGGTTTTCCTGAAGCTCATCGAGAACTTAATTCCATTTAGATGTGTCACTCCTCTTACGGCTTTTTCATTCAATCTGAACAAATGTTGTTTTTCTTTACCAGGTATTCTATCTTTTCTGGCGACCCCTGCTTTTAATTAAACGTCAAAATGTCAAGAAATGTTCCATTAGTAGACCAAAGTAATCTCCGCTCCATCATCAGTTTTTTCGTTTTTGTCAAATATTGAATGACTAGGAAAATAGTGCCTCAATAGAGCCACCTGTTTCCACTTTTACATTGTACATCGGCGGCAAATTGGTTGTCAGTCCGATTCTTTCGGTGGTAGCGGAGTGACTGAAGCACTCAAAAATTGAACTTGACCCAAATAAAAGCTCATGGGTTGGAAACGAGGAGAAAAACGTCCAGTTTTGACACTTTGTAGATCATACGAACGGCGTGCGCCCCTCTGGGAAGGGCTTAATCTCTCTACACCTGTATTTACCTGAGGTTGTTGCCTGTCGGAGAACAGACGATTATATTTACCGTCTTTTTCTTCATTCTTTGGGAGTGTTTAATTAGAAAACTAAACAAAAAGGCGTCTTTTCTTTCACCCTTTGATTCCCACGGGTGACCAAAACAGTATTTCTCCTTACAATATCAATACAATATCAAGCAGATAAGTGATGGCAATAAATAAAAATATCAATTATAGGGGATTGTTGGTTGATGCAATACCAAATTCACCGAACTAACAGCATATGAATTGTATGGTAGAAAGTAAGGAGAATTACTGACGAGATCTTTGAAGTGGAAGGCAGAGGGGGATGAGTGAGGGGTCAGTCCTTACAAAGGCCTTTACACGTTGAGTTATTGTGGAAGGTGTAAGGAAAACTACATATTTGAAAGATTTTACGTGTTGAAAAAAGGTTTCAACCACAGTGAAACGATTTAAAGCTTTTCACTGAGTTGAGCAGAGCACTTGTTTCTGGCTTTCTAAAGTCTAGTCACAGACCCTCCATTCTGTCCAGGGTCAGCATCGAGGGCGCGAGCGAAAATAGAGTTTCGGGGGATTTAATACTTTTATTTTCACCATTTATGTAATTTTTCCTTTCTTTATGGTTTTTTTTCATCTTATTTTGGACCTCTTGCGCTCGTTCTCGCTACCCCGCTCAGCAAAAACAAAAATAATGAACAGCAAGTAAGAAAACAAATATTTACAATGAAACACGGACTGGGAGGGACACCAGTCTCTTATTTGTCTTCAGACAAGTCACAGGGATACCAGGTGCATTGCTTTAGTTCTACTTAGGGAACGCCATGTTAATCCTTTAGCTTCTACGAATGACCAAGACTAAATTTCTCCTTACTACTTTGAAACAACATCAAGCAGACGAGTGATGTGAATAAAGAAAAATATCAATTAGGGGATTATCAGTCAAACGGTTAATAGTGGGTGTAGAAAAGGGACAAATATTTGGAACTCAAGCCTACAGAACAAGTGCAACATTTTTTTCAAGCGAGTAAAGCCTCTACTTTCCTCAAGTTTAAAATATTCTTCCAACGAGTTGTGGAGGAAATAATGAGAAGCTATGATTTTTCTCTGTGATTGGATGAAAAAATTCACGCCCCACTTCCTCGACCAATCAGATGCATACTATGCTTAACCTTTAACTCCCAAGATCTGATTGTAAATTCTCCCCTCTAGCTGCTGCACATTTCCTTCTAAATTAGTTCTGAGAATTTGGTGTCAGATCAAGAAAATCAACTTCTACGCGATAAGTTCAAGTATTATCATTATCTGTTTGCAAGAAAGTGTGAGGATATTCTAGGAGAAGTTACCTCTCAATCACTTCTGGGAGTTAACGGGTTTAAGCCAGCTGTCGTTTTTACTTTGAATTCCTTCAAAAAATACTCGTTGTCACTGGGTGTTGAAATAATTACACAAACGAACGCAACATGCAAAGAAATAAAACACAATGTTTCAAAATTTATTCCAACAAATACTTTATTTGCTTTTGCAACAAATTTGTTTTAAATACAACAGACAGGGGCATCTGTGGATCCCTCCTTCCTGTTGCTGGGACTTTATTTCAATAACACAGAGAAAGTATAGACTGCTAGACTCTGCAGTCAAAAGGAGCTTCAATTTTTTTTCTTCTTTTCGTTTTTATTTCTCGTCACTGTATCCTGTCATTATGGAAAGGGCCTGCTGAGGCAAGAAAATAGATTCAGTTATTAATAAATTCCAGATTTTTGCAAAGTAAATGGCAAGTCTATCTCCTTAATGGAAGGGGTGGGGGGTGTCACTTTTGCTTGATCACTGTCACTTTTGCTCGATAGAGAGGGCTCCATGTACACCTTACCCCACATCCCCCTTCCTGTGTAGGGAACTCTGGTTGGCTTTGATACCACACTGTCTTCTAAACAAGAGTTGCATTGTTTGCTTCAAAGAGAGACTGTAGCTTAAAACATCAACCTTTTAGCATGAAGATAAGGGGTGAGGGGTGGGGGGGGGGGATGCAGGGTGATCAAGCTATGCCCTCCATTTGGCAACAAGAATGGCTGTCACTCACCAGGCATGTAGGATACTGACGACGGAGTAGAAGTGGGCACAGCATTAGGTGCCACTGAAGGAATGTAAACATACGGGGCAGGGCCAGGTGTAACTTGTCCCTGAGGGGGTGCGCCAACCTGAGGCTGTCCTGGCATCGGGGAGCTGAAGACAAACTGACCTGACTGTGAAGGGCTGGGCTGCGGCTGACCTTGAGGGGTGCCTGCACTTTGCATGGGTGCACCAGCAACTGAAAAAAAATTAAAAAACAAATCATACTTTGTGCAGCTTGTCTCAGTCTGTCTCTAATTGAAACTCACGCTACCTAGTGTTCAAATCTTGAATGAGGACCCACCTATTTTTCCTTGTCTTGCCATGATTAAAAAAACTGTTGTTTCACATCTCTCTTTCATCAAAGAGTACTACTGAATACTGGTTGGTAAAAAAAAATTCTTACCATAAACTGGGACAGGTGTGCCATCCTGGTATGTCTGTGTCATTGGAACAGTACCTGCCCCTGCTGGTGATGACACCTGAGGAAAAGGAAAAAAAATATTGTGTGAAAATAAGTTCTCTTGTGCTTAAAGGGTAAGTTTCTCAAGAAACTGTGGTGCTGCATCAGTGGGCGAGTATCACAGGGTAATTTGGTGTTATCAATTGAGTTGACAATGTAAACTGGCCAATTTAAAGAGTTTCAAAGCTGATGTTTCAAGCATTAGCCCTTTATCAACCCAGTTGATAACACCAAATTACCCTCTTGTGCTTCAGCTTGATGGAAGCAGATATAGTTCCCACATGCTCACAATTTCACTCTCATAAGCAATAAATAATATAAATATATTGGTAAAAGGTAACTTATCTGTACTATATAAGTTTGGGTGACAAGAAACAAGATTTGAATCACATTCTATCAAACAGACAACAGTTACTTACAGGAGCAATAAATCGTGCTGGACCGTGTCCTGGAGGAACAACAAACTGCCAAAAAAAAAAATAATAAAATAAATTGTATGACTCAGTTCAAGGATAGTTTCCAAGCTGGATGTATTTAGGAAAGCTTTACCCTTAAACTCCCAAGATCTGACTGTTAATTCTCCCATTTAGCCACTAAACAATTATTCCTTGTAAATTAGTTTCAAGAATTTGGTGTTTGATCAAGACAATGACTTCTACCTAACAAGTTTGAAATTATCCTCAATACCTGTTTGCTAGGTAATGTCTGGATATTACAGGGAAAAAGTTACACTATAGAAGTTGATCACTTAAGGGAGTTATGAACACAACTTGCAAAATGACTTTTTCATGGAATTTCATGGAACAAAATTTAAAATAAATCAAAACAAATCAAAACCACCTTCACTGCCTACCTGTGGTAACATTGGCTGTGGCACCATTCCTGCATGTGGCTGGACGTAAGTGACAGGCTGATGTGGTGGAATTGGACCGTACATTTGCTGAGGAAATCCACCTCCTGGTGTGATAATTGGGCTGCCAGTTGCAGCAGCTGCCGATAAGAAGGTAGGTGGTGATTCCCCTTGGTCACGGCCACCTCCATATGACTGGCTTCGTGGAGCTGTAACAATAAACAATCCATTTCATTGACTATGTTTCACACTTGATGCAACAAAATGTCTCAAAAGAAAATGACAACCAAAAACAGGAAAAAAACCTAAAACCACTACTAAACATACGTTTATTGAATGGCTGTTTGCTTCTGTAGAGTTGAGGTACCACCATCATTGGTTGGGGGTGGGGAGGGAAAGGAGCTCCTGCCACTGGAGCTCTGATGGAAGTTGGTGAGAAAGGTGGTGGGCCCACTGATATGTATTGTTGTGGAGGTGGAGTTGACTTCTGAAGACAAAAATACTATCAGCTTCTTGTTATAGAACAACTTTTGGAAAATTGAAATGTCATCCCATTGCCATGGCACCCAAGCTACCGAGCAAAGTTGCTGAGTAATTAACCTAACCTCAAGTTTAGTTTTGTTAACCCCCAAAATTACTCTTTTTATGTCTCGGTTAAATCAAGAAGTGGAAGTGTCAAATCCTTCCAGCAGAATATGTGTTACACCTTTTAATATGAAGGTGTTTAAGGTAAATAGTTCCCTTGTGCAAGCAAATGGCTAATGAAAATAAGTCTACAAGGTCTACGGTTTTGAAGCTTGGTTAATGTGTAGAAAGTTGTGATCACTGATTTTGCCTTTTACACAAAAAATTGGGTGTGGGAATTGAACTAAATTTTTGGAACAGGAAGCGGGAATGGGAACAAACCTATCTTCAAAAGTTGGGTGGTTACCTGAAGGGAGGGGTGGAAGGAAAGAGATGTTGAAGCTTTGAATTGATCAACACATAACTAGTTCTACAATCCTCCTCCTTTAAAAGCTCCTCCCCGTTTGACTGTGGCATTACATTTGCCATTTAGAACAATAATAGAGACACAATTCATATTCTCTATATAATGTTCTCTATATACATTTCCTGAGGTGCTCACATGGAGAATTTGACTAAGAATCAAGGAACTCTAAAGATGGTGATCATTTCTTCTATTCTTGTGACCTCATTGCATGATTCAGAGGTGATATTGTAAGGAGAAAATAGTTGCTTGTCAAATGGTTAACTTACTTGAGCCTTGGGAGTGAATTTGAATTCTTTAGCATATGGATTTAGCTTTGAAGTAGAAAGAATGCTAGAAAGTAAGACATAGCAGGATTAGAAAAACTTGACTTTGAAACAAGAAAAAAAAAACAGGACTACAAAAATCTAAATTTACTTGAGTAAACCTGAAATTTAATTACCTTGCTTCTCCATCTTTTTTCTCTTCTGATTTGGCCACATCTGGAGAAGATGGCGTCCCTGATTCTACGAGAGAGATATGTGAACAGTCAGACATAGAGGGATATTCATTTTCAACCAAAGGTGAGTCCAAAAATGTGTAAGAGACCACCACAATTAACAACATTTCATATTTCTCAAAATCAAAATGTCTTGTACCCGTAAACCAGGTCTACTGAGGATCATCCACCCTTTACCCTTCAACATGAGTTTGCATATTCTCCATACTGTTTACCACACATTTCTTAAGGTGCTGACAAGGAGAATTTGTTCAACAATCAAGATCCTCTTTACTTGATGATCATTTCCTTTATTCTTGTGAACGAAGTGTGTGATTTAAGGGTAATAATTTAGGGAGAAATTACATGCTGGTCGCTCTCAAGGGTCGCAGGGTTCAGAGAATTCTGGAGATTCTATCATAAACACATCACTTCTATGCTTGACAAAGTATTCAAGATGCAGGAGAATTTAATTTAAAATTAGCTCTTCCTGTTCCCTAATTGACCATGAACAGCACAAAATAACTTGGATGGAGAATCTAATGGTTGATCCAGAGTCACTTTGGTCTTTTCCTCTACACCCTTTCAATTATATGTTTTTAAAAAAATACATACCATTGACAGAGGATGTAGTGGTCTTAGTCACTGTAGCCTCAGCCTGATCTGCCTCTTGAGGAACTGTTTGCTGCATATCTTTTGCCTTCTTGGAAGACTTTTCTTTTAGCTATAGAAAACCCAACAAATAAGAGTTGATACAATTAATTTTGGTGATCTGCTTCTTAAGATTTCCATGCTACAACGAGTTTCATTGATACCTGTATCTCAACATTTTCAAACTAGACTGCCATAACTCTGACCTTCCCACTATAATCTGTCACTGTTAAAGGTGATCTCTGGAAAATTTGTAGTTTGAATTCTAAATCTTAAATACATGCAATGTCAAATAAGTTTTTCTGTTTCATTAGATATATACCAATCACATCATTTCATGAGATAAAAAGCTAAACTTACATTGAAGTTGGAATGAAACTCTTTCAGATCTGCAGAATAATAATGATAATAAAAAACACCTTTGTTAAATTTCCTATATCCACAAATGCCCCAAATAATCATAAAAACAAATAAAATATTTACACCAGGAGAATCTCACAATTTCTTCCTTTACCTTTCACAACTTCAGAATGGTTTGCTTTGGAACCAGAGGCCTGAGTGTCTGTAGAAGCTGTTTGTCCTACGATGGACAATTCCTTTAAGCTTTGACCACCAGAGGAGTGTGTCACAGTGTTTTCACTGTTCACAGTAACAGCACTTGCAGGTTTGGCATTTTCCTGAGAAAATAATCAAGCAGAAAACTGTAAATGACTGGGGGGATTTTCTTGATTAATGATGGCCTGTCTGAAAGCTGTTTAACCCCTTTACACTCAAACATCAGTATACATATTCTCCACACTGTTCTCTTTACATTTTCTTAGGTGCTGACAAGGAGAATTTCTTTAACAATCAAGAGTTTCTTCAGTTGGTGATCATTTCCTTTATTCTCATGACCTTAGTGTGTGATTCAGGGGTTATTTTGTAAAGAGAAATTTGATGCTAGTCATTCTTAGAGGTAAAAGAATTAACAGAAAGTTATTTAAATGTAAACCTTTACATTCAATTAAATTCACCTGTACTGCTGGTGTGTCGGTGTCTGTAGCTTTTCTCTCATCTGATGATTGAGTTGTTTCAGGAGCAGCTAAAGATTGAGGCAAAAGACACTATAATTAAACTTACTATAATCCTCAATGAAAGAAATTTCATTTGAGCTGTGGATGAAAATCAGGAAAAGCAATGATCTTTGCAGGTAAGCTGGAATTTGAGCAATTGGAAAAACGAATCCTAAAAAATTGAAGGCTTTGACAGGATTTGAACCTGTGCCTCCAAAACACTAGTTGCGTGCTACTACTAACTGAGCTATAGAGCCACATTTTGGCAGAGGGGCACATTTTCTAGGGTTCTCCTTTCCCATGGAGAAATCTCATCATAATTCTGAATGAAAAAAAATACATTTGACCTGTGGAAGAAAATCAGGTAAAGCAGTGATCCCTGTGGGTGGGCTACAATTTAAGTGATTGCAGAAAAGTCCATTGCTTAGTTCAATGGAATAAAAGGTAAAAGTTCAAATGTCTACTGCCAAATACCTTCTCTTTGTGGCTTTCCTTCTACAGAAGACTGTCCAGGAGACACCTGAGGGGTTCTTGGATCTGCACTTGTGGTTTGAGGTCTCACAACAGCTGCATACATTTCCTCTTCAGTTTTACCACTATCAACTTCTTGCCGGTGCAAGTGCCCTCTGGACTTTAATGCAAATGAAAGCAGAGAAAACCATCCATTAGTTAACCTCAATAGTCAAAATGAAAATACTGTTTGGCATAGAAAAGATTAACCTTTCAATCACAAGATATCGTATTGTTAACTCTTCCCTCTGACTGCTTCACATTTCCTTGTACATAAGTTACAAGAATTTGATGTTAGATCAAGGTCAACTTCCACTATATACATTTCAGTATTCTCATCACCAGTTTGCTGGATATTATAGGAAGAAATTACATGTGAATCACCTCCAGGATTAAAAGGGTTAGTAGAAAAAATAATTACCTGCTCAATTTCCCGAGCAGCTTGTTCCGCTTTGAGCTCCATTTCACCAGTGCTATCCTTTGGAAGTGGTGTTCTAATGAGAATTAAAAGGTAAATAAGCAAGACTTTTGTACTGTTTTGGCTTGAGCTTAAGATGTAAAGCTTTATTTCCCAGTCTTGTGGAAGATTTGCATTTCACTTACGTGTACTCCAACAAATCTTCATTGTATGTTGATTTAACACCAAACTTTTCCTCATTGGTTTTGAACATCTCATCTGCTGACCAGCCATTCTATATTAACCAAAACATTTGATTAACCATCACCATCATCATAAGAATACTTCTAGAAGCTAAGAAATTCTGAGCCATTTCCCACAGTGATGTACACTACCTGAACATCTACATCAACTTCAACATCGCCGCTTGCAAACTGGCTTAGTTTTTGTCCCATGACAAAAATGCTTACAGCCATGACACCATTAACCCAAACTGACAGGAGAGCTCATTGACAAAGCTATGATCCGGTCACAAGAAAATCTAGTAACTGGCTGAGTTCTCAATTCCAAGAGATCAACAATTCTTTCTCCAAAATGTGTGATAAATTCTAAAAATGAAAATTTGCCAGGTTTCTCTCAAATATTATAGACAGTTCTATCATCAAACCCCGGATGATTCACGCAAAAAGAAGACCAAATGGAGTGGAAACTGGAAAATGATGATTTGAATTCAGAATCTTGCCACAAAAACACGAGTTCAGAGCATCAAGAAATGAGCAAACATAGAACCACTCTATACAGTGGCCATATTGGATGTTTTAAACATGATCAATGATCTAAGTAAAAAAAATGTCTGAAGGAAATTAATCATGCATGACACAAAGAACAGGTACCATTCAACAGCTGGTTTTCAACAATAGCAAAACAAACCAGGAAACACAGCAGCCATTTGGGGAAATGCTTTGAAACAAAACACATTTTAACACCTTTTGTTCCAAATGTCAAAAAAGAAATTGCTCTGAAAACACCTGTACTTTCCATAGAAAAAATCTTCAAGCAATGTATCAATCAACAATTTGTGATTCGTTCACTATGTCAAAAAAAAATCCAAAAATCCATCCAGTTTGAAAAAAAAAATCCCTCATGAATGTAGTTGCTCAAATTCACTTTAATTTCATAGTACAAAAAAAGTATTGCTTCACTGATGCAAAATGTATATACTTAACCCTTCAACCCCTAAGATTAAATTGTGAATTCTCCCCTCTAGCTGCTACACAATTCCTTATAAATTAGTCTTAAGAATTTAGTGTTGGATCAAGATAACAACTTTTACTGGATTAATTTGAGTATTCTCACCACCTGTTTGCTGGATAATGTATGGATATTTTAGGGAGAAGTTATGTGTTCCACACTTCTGGTAGTTAAAGGGTTGACTAATGTCAAAGTTGTTTACTTAAACAACTAATCAACATTAGCAACTACACTAAAAAGACCCAATTGAAAAAAAATTTATTTACCACTTTCACATTATCTTCCAAGCCTCCTCCAATGTCAGGACCATCTGGAACCCATCTCTGAAGATGAAAGACTACTGTATTACAACACAGAAAAGCATGCCACATTTTGATTAATATAATGCACACCTTCTGGAAATGAGTTACAAGTATTCATGAAATTTCCGGATCAATGCCCACCTACCCCTCCCCTAACCCAAAAACAGTCAATTGATAACAAGTTAGGGTTAATGTTGGATTAGGGGAGGGGTAGGTGGGCAGTTTCCCAGATACTGATATTGATCCAATTACCTTAGAGCGCTGTGCCCAGAAGAGAGTCAAAGGGAAATAATTTGATTTCATAAGATCTTACATCTAAAATCAAACCTGGGAAAATCCATCTAAAGGCATACATACCTCCAGCTTCCGCTCATTAATTTGACCATTTGTTTGCTTCTGAGCAACATTAGCAATGGCTGCATCTGTAAAAGAATCTGAAAGACAAAAAAGAAATGAGCATGCAAAGGTTCAACTTCTTGTACTTGATTCTACAAGTAGTTTTCCAACACAGACTCTCGTTAGGTGGGTCCCAAGGCACAAAATCAATCAATACTTGCATGTTGGGGAAACTGAATGCAAAGGCATTAAATTCAAATTTTCTTCAGTTCGTCATTTTCAATCTGTTTAAAACTCAAAATTCCTCAATCATTCTTCTTCCTTCTGTGTTTATTATTGCCTCTAATTAATATTTTATCTTTTATTCAAGAAATATTTTGTCATTGCCATATTCAAACAATGCCTCAAAAGTTGAGATGTATCTTCTGGAAATCATTTTTTTAATTCATTTGTCTCATATGGGTGTTCCTCACAATTTAACCCTTTAACCCCTAAGAGTGATTAGCACCTAATTTCTCCTTACAATATCATCCCTGAATCACACATTTAGGTTATGAGAACAAAGGAAATGATCACCAACTAAAGAAGCTCTTGATAGTTAGACAAATTCTCCTTGTCAGCACCTTAGGAAATGTATAGAGCATAGTATGGAGAGTTTGCATACTGATGTTAGGGTGTAAGGAGTTAAAAACTTGTGAACCAGGATTTATGGTTGATGGTGTAAAAAGATTCTCAAAGGTAGTGCAGTCCTGAAAAGAACTGCAACAATCCAAGTGGAACACATCATCAGAGTTATGCCAAGAGCTGAATGACAAACATCTCCTCGCTTGACTCCAGTGACTTCTGCTTGGGTTGTATAAATGTTGGTGACAGTCCTTTTTGTGATAACATTATCCTAGATGATCACACTATACTACTGATTATTGGGTTCAGCCCATTAACCATATCTGTAACTCAGTCATACAAATGTTCTGAAAGGAAGTCTTACCAACTGAGGTGACAATCTCTAGTTCCTCTGTTTTGGTTATATTAACACTCACAATATCTTTCAGAGCAATCATGAGAGTGCTGATAAGACCATCACGGCTGGGTAAAATTCGTTCATCCTTAGAAAAATAATATACATTATTATATCAAGTGGAATTACTGTAGTGAATTGCCTAACTCTTTTAATCCCACATCTGACCAAGACAGTATTTCTCCTTTCAATATCAATACAATATCCAGCAGATAAGTAATGGGAATAAAAAATTATTTCAATTAGGGAATAATAAGTTGATCAAATATCCAATTCTCTGAATTAACATCAAAAGAATTGTATAGCAGACAGAAAGGAGAATTTCCAATAAGATCTTGGCAGTGAAAGGGTTGAGTTGTAGATTGCAGTGTTTTAATGGTACTCTACAAGTCTCCATCAGATCACAATGAAAACTGACTGTAATGGGTGTATTCTTTCATCACTGTGCTCATCGTATCATCATCAACTTTTTTATTTGTGCTGGTGCAAGTTGATCACTTCCATGCAATCCTTCTTGCCACAAATGAATAAAAAGGGGTGTGCTTCTAAAGAAACTGTGGTGCTGTGTCGGTGGGTGGTATATCAATATAATTTAGTTTTATTAACTGAGTCTAAATAAAACTAAAGAGTCATATAAAAGAGTCTAAAGCTGGTGTTTCAAGCATTAGCCCTTCATCAGAGTAGTTCAACTCAGTTGATAAATGAAACTACCTTGTTACCACAGCCATATAATAACAAAACAGGCATTCTATTTTCCAATATATCAGGGCATAATCACCTCAATAACAAGTCCATTGCTTTTCTTTTGCTGCACAAGATGAGCTTCGCCTAAGGAACAGTCGAACTGCAGAAGAGAAAATTTTCTCATTCAAGTTTAAAGAATTTATGATTCTTTGCCAATGCCATGGGAAATTTTTGGAACTATAGGTGCAGATAATTTCTGTTTACCCTTTGACCCCTTAGAGTGACCAGCATAAAATTTCTCCTTACAGTATCACCCTAGAATCACACATTAAGGTCATGAGAATAAAAGAAATGATCACCAACTAAAGAAGAAGCTCTTGATTGTTAAACAAATTCTCCTTGTCAGCACCTTAGGGAATGTACAGAGAACGGTATGATGATGTTGAGGTATAAAGGGTTAATATGATAACCTGAGTTATACATGCATTTTGATTGGCTCATACTTCGGATCTATTGGAGGACAGACACGGATGTGACACTACTATCAACAACAATTTGCTTTTTTTATTGGATAGAACAAACACATTCCCCTTTCCTCTGGGTCTGTGTAGTAATAAATCTTAGAGGACATCAAAATGTGGTAAGAATATCAGTGACAATCACAGCTGCACCTTGTCTGCCACTTTTTTGTTCTTACCACATTTTTACATAGTCTGTGATAAATTACAGACCCACAGCAATATGAATTCTGTTGAAAACCAACCTTAGAGGAAACGGCTTTGAGGACTCCTTCATAAATATCACCATTCTGAACCTGAACACGAGCTGTCTCACCCTGTACAAAGAGTGAATTGAAGCACAGTTTTAATATTCTTTTCTTTTTCTAGGTGAATGAGAATTACCAGCAAAAAGACAAAGACATTGGAAACATTGCATGAGTTAGGTTAACATATAATCAACCTTTTATTTCCCACGAGTGATCAAAAGAGAATTTCTCTTCACAATAACAGTACAACATCAAGCACACAAGTAATGAGAATAAAGAAAAGTATCAATCAGGGTTTATTAAGTGATCTAATATCACACTATCCTAATTCAGAGATTTTCCAAAAGAATCACACAACTGTTAAGTTGTGCAACTCTCATTCTAAGGTGCATGAATTAAGTAGAAGTTAGATCCAAGTAGGGTAACATCTGTTAAGAAAGAGGGAACCTGATAATTGTACTTGAACCCTTCAACTCCCATGAGTGACCAAAACAGAATTTCTCCTTACAATATCAATACAATATCAACCAAATAAGTGATGAGAATAAAGAAAAATATCAATTTGAGGATAGTTGATCTAATACTAAATTCTCTGAACATTACAAGAATTATAAGGTTGACTGTGAGGAGAATTACAAATTTGATCTAAGAGTTTAAGGGTTAATCCAGTAAAACACACATGTGGAAATACAAGTACATGCTTACCAAGTTGCTGATAACATAGTAAACCATGAACTTGTTTGCAAAGATGTCTGTGGTATGCCCATTGTCAGACTGAAAAAAAGAATGGAAAGAGGGGATGAGAAATTTCAGAAAGTATACAACATTCAAACTAATAAAAGATACAAGTGAGCAACAATGGCACATATTAAGCAGCTTAGATTGACATCGAATGTAAATTAAAATCTTTAAAAGTTAATAATCCACACGATTGCACAGGAACTATTTTCTCAAACTTACATTGGCAAAGTTAAGCGTCGGAGGCGGAGGACTTGCACTGGAACCTGGTCTGTAACTCTTTTGACCCCTGAAAAAATAAAAAAACCAGACATTAAATATATGTTACCTGCATGAAACACGATATTTAGAGAGCGGGATAAAAATAGATAGTCAGCGACAGATACAACGGAAGAACCACTCCAGGCTATACAAATCTCTGTTTCAACGTGTAAACTTGATCTCTTTCAAATTACTTAACTGAGCCACTGATCTTGAGCAATATTAATCCAAACACGCCGGCAAAAGAAGTAACCCATAGCAGAGAAATTTTTCGGAAATACCATAAACACGAGAACGATATTTTCACATCGGCCAAGAAGCAGAGGGGCATGATAAGAGATGAACAAAATTTCACCAAGGCTGGTTTGGCGTGATCTCGCGTGATATTTTCAACAATATATTGATGTTTGTATGGTTGCACATCTTAAAAATGACAGGGTAAATAGTTGTCATCGAGGAAATACCACAATGAAAATATTCTTGCGAGAGAATGATATGAGTGTATCACAAGGTGGTGTAGTCCACGTTGACGACAAATGCTTCTCATGTCAAAACTCGGCGTAATTGGGTGGGTCAAGCAAAAACTATAACGGGATATTCAATTAATGATCCTCGCAATACTACCACACGAAAGCCACACTAATCTTGGGGAATTAAGAATGAAGTTTAAAAAAGAGCCGGTCGATAGTCTTCCGTTTATATAAAATTGCATCACGGCTGAAAATTAGACCCTTGACTCGCCGGTACTGAATTAGTTCCTCTTCATCAAACAAAATATGATTGAGCTTAAGGTTTTGATCAGATTGTCAGGACTAACAGACGATAAAAGAATTCCGAGAAAGTTTTTGTAACTCTAAGAATAACTACCTGCCACTGCCTCCACGGCCTTTGCTTCGATGTTTCTGTAAACTCATACTCTAGGAAACTTCGCACTTTATATTCCATGAGTTTCACAGCCACATTTTCGCAGATAAAACGCGTATAGCGTCGACGATTTCAGTGAATCAAGTGGAAACCTAACTCATTGATTGCGACATCAACTCTGGAAAGGTTTCTAAGTAGTCATAAGGAAGCGACTGCTTCTATTTCCTTTCCTTTCATAAAATCCTGCGTGTAATGGAACTAGTTCGCTCCCGCGTTACAATTGCTCGTTTTGTCATAGTAAAGAGAATTTATCCCTTAATCAGAGAGGCCAGCAAACTCAATTTTCGTCGCATTATCTAACCTAGCATGATGAAATGCTAAAAGTGAGTCCGTTTTAAAACACTTGAATCACAGAGTTTGATAAACATCGATTTTCAAAAGACAAAAACATCTTAAAAAAATACATTTTGAGATAACATGTGACGAATCTTAGGAAGTGCGAGGCAATGGAACAATCAGGTGACTAATACACCGGGAAGTTTTTTTTTTGTATTTGAAATAACTTCTGTTTTTCAATTTAGTTATCAGATCGCACGAACAGAGCCGCACAATTAAACGACGTGAGCAAAGTACACTTCCTCACACCTCGTGATTATAAATTCTCAATACCATGCACAAGACCTTTCCAATTTTGATACCTTCCCAGCATGCACTGGGCTCCTATTTGGGAAGAAGGGTCCAGACTCTCCCGTCCGACTTAACTTATTCGGCAATTTATCTCCTACATTTCTTATTACTAATCTTGCTCCAGACATATATATGTATATATAAATGTCTAACGTAGCTGGGCTGATAAGATTCTGCCTTCTAGAGGCCGATAACAAGAGTCACAATGGATAACTGGCAAGAAGGCACGCCAAACTGCTTTCACTTGTCTTCCTTACCAAGCCGCGTAAACATTTTCTCGAACTACGCTATTTACGCTCGTTAGCGCAAAATCAATCGAGAAGAACTAGTTCGCTGGAGACTGTTGTGACTTGTACTTTAATGGGGCCAGGAGTCAAGCAGAGAGGTAAGTCTATTAATATTTGTCAAGAAAGTGGTTTTCCTGTGACAAAAAATTATTGGTTACACTTTTCCAGGCATTTAAATTCTTCAAGAATCACCATAGATAGTCGTGGCTTCTTCCGCCAGATCAGATATTTTGACTTTCTCGTGGCCAGGCATTGCTTTAGAGTTTTTAATAGCTGGTTCTTTCTTGTAAAAACAAAGAATAAGGTTTTTAAGAATACAGAGCATGTGCAAGTCTCGGAAATCTAGAATAGCCGTGTCTTCTGCCATAGGTCTTGATACTTCTGGATTTTTGTGTGTTTTTTTCGGAGCAACTTCAGAATACCCGGCCACTCATTTACATGTCATTGAATAAGAGTAGCGTCTATTGTGTTATGCCTCGATCCTCAAAGCCTCTCGACACATATAAGTGAGGCGGACCAAAGTGGCCGGGTATTCTGAAGTTTAGCTTAGTCGTGCCTTCTTCAGCCAGAGACTTTTACGTACTCTTGCCAAGGCATTTCTTAACATTTTGAGAAGCTGGGTTTCTCTTGTATAGACGTAACTAAGTCTTCCGATAATACAGAGCATGCGTTAGTCTCAGAAGTCTAGAATAGCTGTGTCTTCTTCTGCTGTAGATCTTGTTATTTCTTGATTTTCTATCTTTTTGTGTAGCATTTTATTCTTTTTTTCTAAAGCTGCCTTCAAGGTCAGGGTGTGAGCCTTTAATATGGTCATGTCTTCTTTAGCCAGATACTTTTTCTTACCCTTAGCCAGGCATTTCTTTATATTTTTTAATAGCTGTGTCTTTCTTATGAAAAACAAAGACTATGTTTATGAAGAATACAGTGCATGTGCTAGTCTCTGAAGTTTAGAACAGCTGTGTCTTCTTCTGCATCCTGATCTTCTCCGTATGTTGTTTTTTTCTGATAAAAGCTGCCTTTGTGTTCAGGGTGTTGGCCTTTTGTATGATAAGCTGAATTATGTTGAAAATCTCTTTTGTTTTCAAATTTCAAGTCACAATTTTTCTCTTCCTCTTTCCTCTTTGTATTCTTTTTGTATTCACACGCAGTTTGCATGATTTAAATTAGCCAATCAGGTCAAAGAACTCTAACCTTGACATTGGAAAACTGACATGGACATTTTTCACAGAGTTTTCATTTGCAGAAATTTGTTTCCTCTTTGTCTGAAATTTTAGGAAGTCTTGGAATTCTTATTTTAGCCAAATATTGTAGTTCATTTAACAAGTTTAAAACATATTTTGAATGGAGTTTGGACTCTAGCCTCTTTTCTCGTAAATTGATTTTTTACAGGGTGTAGGCCTTTTTTATGATAAGGTGAATTATGTGCACATTTTAATTGGATTTACTTATGTTCTATTGACCCCAGGACCCCAAGGAGTGACAAGCACCAAATTTCTCTTCTTAGTATCACCCCTGATTCAAACAATAAGGTCACGCAATTTGAGGAAATGATCACCAACTAACGGAACTTTTGATTGCTAAAAAAATTCTCCTTGGCAGCACCTAAGAAAATATGTAGGGAACAGTATGGAGAATATGCATCATGATTACTGTGGAGTCTCTGTGGCAAAGTGGTAGAGCATCGGAATGCGGAATCCAAAGGTCTGAGCTTTGATTCCTCATGGGGACTCAGAATTTTTTCTTTGTCCCATGCTCAGGTCAAGAGGAAAAAAACATCTTTCTCTATTTCTTTACTGAGCTCAAAATTCACCATCTCTCTTATTTCTATCTACAAACATTACACTTTCAACATTGCTGATCCTAGCAGTATGCAGGACATGTGTTGTATGAACTTCGTAATTGACCTTGCTCACCGTGGAGTCTCTGTGGCTCAGTGGTAGAGCATCAGAGCGTAGAATGTAAAGGTCTGAGGTTTGATTCCACATGAGGACTCAGAATTTTTTCTTTGTCCCACACTTGTGACAAGACAAAAAAACATCTTTGTCTATGCATCGTGATGTTAGAGTGTGATGTTAGGGTGTAAAGGGTTAAAGGGCAGATACAAAGATGTTGCCACCATTAACATCTTTCTTATTTTATCATATAAAATGGACTCCATGTTGTTGTGGGTCCGTACAATGATAGATCACAGAAGATGTCATAATGTGCTAAGAGCATCTGTGCCATTTTTTGCTCTTACCACATTTTGATAGCATCTGTGATCTATTACTGAACAGGCGCACAGCAACATAGAATTAATTTGTTAAACAGGGAGTGGAATTAATCTTTGTGCCCAAATTACTCCAAATTTTTGTTTCCACTACCCTGGAAATCTGTACATTTTTTTCTGTCTTTTTGGAGACCTTCACTTACCCTTGGCCAGGCATTTCTTTAAAGTCCAAGATTGCAGGATCTTGTTCAGCCACACTTGGAACAGGCTTTTCCTTATAATCCAAGATGGTAGAGTCTTGTTCAGCCACATTTGGAACAGTCATTTCCTTAAAGTCCAAGATTGCAGGATCTTGTTCAGCCACACTTGGAACAGGCTTTTCTTTATAATCCAAGATGACAGGGTCTTGTTCAGCCATGTTTGGAACAGGCATTTCTTTATAGTTTAAACTGACTGGATCTTTTTCAGCCGCACTTTGTGACTTAGTTTCTTCTTTTCTTCTTTGCTTTCTTGGTTTTCTCTTTTTCTTGATCTTGGACTTTTTCTTATACCCATGGTCTTCTTCACCCACACTTGGGGTTGGACTTTCAACTTTTTGACCTTTTTCGGTTGTACTTGGGTCAGGACTTTCAGCTGTTTGATCTTTGTTGGTTGCGCTCTGGCCAGGACTTCCAGCTTCTTGATCTTTTTCAGTTACACTTGAGCCAGGACTTTCAGCTTTCTGATCTTTTTCAGTTACACTTGAGCCAGGAATTTCAGCTTTCTGATCTTTTTTGGTTGCACTTGGGCCAGGACTTTCACCTTCTTTATTGTTGTCGGTTGCACACTGGCCAGGACTGTCAGCGTTTTTGTCTTCTTCAGTTACACTTGAGTCAGTACTTTCAGCTGTTTGAACCTTGTCACCTACAGTCGGGCTAAGACTTTTCACCTTTTGATCTTTTTCAGTTACACTTGAGGCAGTACTTTCAGCTGTTTGATCCTTGTCACCTACAGTTGGGCTAAGACTTTCAACTTTTAGACCTTTTCCAGTTACACTTGAGTCAGGGCTTTCAGCTGTTTGTACCTTGTCACCTACAGTTGGGCTAAGACTTTCAACTTTTAGACCTTTTCCAGTTACACTTGAGTCAGGGCTTTCAGCTGTTTGAACCTTGTCACCTACAGTTGGGCTAAGACTTTCAACTTTTAGATCTTTTTCAGTTACACTTGAGTCAGTGCTTTCAGCTGTTTGTACCTTGTCACCTACAGTTGGGCTAAGACTTTTGACTTTTGGAACTTTTCCAGTTACACTTGAGTCAGTACTTTCAGCTGTTTGAACCTTGTCACCTACAGTCGGGCTAAGACTTTTCACCTTTTGATCTTTTTCAGTCACACTTGAGGCAGTACTTTCAGCTGTTTGATCCTTGTCACCTACAGTTGGGCTAAGACTTTTGACTTTTGGATCTTTTCCAGTTACACTTGAAGCAGTACTTTCAGCTGTTTGAACCTTGTCACCTACAGTCGGGCTAAGACTTTTCACCTTTTGATCTTTTTCAGTTACACTTGAGGCAGTACTTTCAGCTGTTTGATCCTTGTCACCTACAGATGGGCTAAGACTTTCAACTTTTAGACCTTTTCCAGTTACACTTGAGTCAGTGCTTTCAGCTGTTTGTACTTTGTCACCTACAGTTGGGCTAACACTTTTGACTTTTGGATCTTTTCCAGTTACACTTGAAGCAGTACTTTCAGCTGTTTGATCCTTGTCACCTACAGTTGGGCTAAGACTTTCAACTTTTAGACCTTTTCCAGTTACACTTGAGTCAGGGCTTTCAGCTGTTTGAACCTTGTCACCTACAGTTGGGCTAAGACTTTCGACTTTTAGATCTTTTTCAGTTACACTTGAAGAAGTACTTTCAGCTGTTTGAACCTTGTCACCTACAGTCGGGCTAAGACTTTTCACCTTTTGATCTTTTCCAGTTACACTTGAGGCAGTACTTTCAGCTGTTTGATCCTTGTCACCTACAGTTGGGCTAAGACTTTCAACTTTTAGACCTTTTCCAGTTACACTTGAGGCAGTGCTTTCAGCTGTTTGTACCTTGTCACCTACA